GCTGATGAATTGTTTCTCCCTCGAAAACTTGGACTAAATGGGATTAATGGAAATTATCTTCTGAGTTTGAATTCAAACTGGAATTTTACTTTTTTTATTTTTAGAACAAAGCCAGATTTTGCTGTTGGGTCGTGCATTCCGAGTCAGAAGAGTATGTCATGGAAAGGGTTCAAAATTACTGGCTACGCTACAATCGTGTACATGATTTAATTGTTGTCAAAAATGATCCGATTTCTGACGTTGAGTTTCTTTGCACATGATGGTAAAGTTATATTTTGTTATTTATATCATTCTAATTAATTATTTGAACCTTTGACAGTTACAGCATTTTTGTGCCTAGGTGGGTTGGCAAACGGAACCATTCTACCTAGAAATGTGGTAATGCAACGCAATTTTCTTTCTAAATCTTTAATGTATATAATTGATTCTTGGTTTGAATTTGGCACTCATGATGAAAATTGGAACTGGACGAATATTCAGTAAGGTATGTGTGTCATCAGTACTCAATTTGATTGTTAACACCATGATTTGCTTCTTCCCCTTCAAATTCCTCGAAATATTTTTCACGATCCTATCAGATTGGATTTCTTGGGTGTTCGAAATAGATTTTGACATTTAATAAAGGGAGTTGTAGATATTATTTAGTGAATCAAATCATTCTTCTAGGATGATTTAGTTGTAATGTTGGTTCGTTTTGATCTCTTGCGAATAAATAAAAAAGTCACTTTAAATGAAGGTGATTTCCATTTTTCAAATGGATGGACCCAAAAGTTCAAGAAAAGAATCAATTAATCTCTTACAGAATTCGTAGCACGAAGCCCCATCAAATCACTTTCATAAGAAAGAATCAATTTACAAGAAATATTTTGATCTTGCAAATGTATCTAATGTGGATGAGATAGGACTTTTTTTTCGAATGACACCAAATCGGACACTGTAAACGTTCACAATTATTTAAAAACGTTCAGGTATTTATTTAACAATGTTAATGAACTGATAATTTTATTGTTGTAAAATTATATAAAAGTTATCTTTATTTGTTTGAATTTTACTTCTTTAAATAATAAAAATACAATTCTTAAAATATAAATATAAATCATAAGAAAATAAATAAATATATAATATATATTGTATGGAAGCTTATAGACTTCCCGGAAAGTATGATCATAATTTAAAGATAACTTCTTTGATTATAAATAATATAAATAAAATAATAATATGATTATATTCCCCACAATATAACATAACAATAATAACGATAACAATAATAATATATGTATAATTCTTTAACAAAAAATCCCGATTGCCAATTAACTTTAATCAAACGATAAAAAAAATGAAATCCTCTGATTACCAAATATGGTAATAAAATTGATTGTCATTTGTGCGACATATTATTTCGAGGGTTGTTACAGACACTTTCAAAACGTAGGATGGAAAGGAAAAAACTGGCACATGTGGCATATTTTTAGTTTCGGATTTAGTTTCTGATTTTAAGGACTAGTCTCGTATAACAGTTCTTCTTGCTGTAAATTCAACTGGTACTCAAAAAGCTCCTAACGATCCGAGTCAAGCTGAGTTCTAATCGAGCTCGAGCCAACTCGAAATTTAATATAAAATCACGATTTTACAGACACTGAAAATAATAAAGCAAAAATATCTTTAATGAATTGTATGACATACTTGAATTTTAAAACATTTAAATCATGACAGGTTAAAAATTTTAAAAAGTTAACAATATTTGTGTTTCTAATAATTGTCTTGTTTTTCTCCATACCATTCACTTTAATAATTAATAATTTAAACACATTAAAGATAGTGATCTTTATCACGCTAACCAAAAATACTAAAAACCGAACAAATAGTTCATTTTATTTTTTTATTATTTATTATTATCATATGGAAAAATTTAATGGATCGACTCTGAAAAAATATCTTTTTTAAATTTGTTACCCAACAAAAACAGAAAATTCCTTTCTAAAAATCAAATTTAAAAAACAATGATTATTTGCAAGCTGTTCATATACATTCCTCTTATCTGTACTTTACAATTCTTGAGCTCTGCAGAAAAGAGAAAGATACTATTGTTTATAATCGGTTTGGAACTGTAGAGCCTCAGATTTTCCAAAATTTTTTAGCAAATGATTATCGCTTCTAAAACACTAAACAAAAAAGAATAATGAAATGCAATACTGATTCAAACTAATTTCTAACCAATTAATAAAAATTATCCTGTCAAAAAGTAATTAATTGACAGAATAATTCATGTAACGTTGGGTACCTCAATGTAACGTCACTTTAAATAATAGTAGGAAAAAATCTAAACTCAACATGTGTGAAATTATACCATGGAATTCGGCAAAAAATAGGGGTGAAAGTACTGGGAAAAATTTGGTTTTAGTTATTTTATTTTATCAAACTTAAACTTATATCAAGCGGAACGATTAGTTGTTCGGTTTTTTATCGGTTTTTTATCATATAAAACCGATGGTTAACCGGTCGGTTTAAGACCAAAACCGAACCGTACCAAAACTGATAAAAACTGGTTATAACCGAACTTTTGGTATCCCTGCTTAGTACCATCTGAAAAGGTTTTTCATTAACTGGGATTTATTAAGTTCTTAGTCGACTAAGAGTTGTTTGACTTGGGTTTTTCTATCGGCTAACATCGCTATGATTAAACTGCTTTATAGTAATAAATAGAAATGAGACTACATTGAAATAAATCGTTACTAGCTTTTAACATCAAATACAAACTCTTACACAAGTAAACAATTTAGTAAGAAACGCTTTCGGAATGATGATATATTTGCTAGATATTCAAGTAATTATTCCATCCCTATAAAAAATTGCACACGGAAAAGGTGCGGAAAAGATGTGGAAAAAGTGAGTTTAATTTCATTATAAAAAAGAT